TGAGGAGCGTCCCGAGCGGCAATCGATAGCCAGATGCAGGCGTGAAAATAGCTATTATTAATAAAAACATGCAAATCGTCTAAATAATTGAACAACACGCTAAGTGAGGATTGAACACATACCAACGGTCGCGTATTTTATAACACATGGGCGATGGGATGCGAATTATTTTAAAACAATTATGTTTGTTTACATATTTTTAATATTCAAATAAGAATCGCACACTGCTCTGCATTGTTGCTGGATGTGCTGGCTTACATTTTGTACATAAGAAAATAGTGACGGCGTTTATGATAAAAAAATAAGTAACAACGCATTGAAAGTCAGTATTGTAAGAAACAATAATATAGTAAAAGTCCAACCCTCTGTTCGTATTCTTGAAGTTAGAACAATGCCCTAATAAAAGATTATCCATTTCTTTTATAAATATTTCGAGTAAAATACTTCAAAGTAACAATAGTTAAATTGTTAAAATATAACTTAATAGCAGTCATAGGTAATTGTTTAAAACCAGTTTGTCCAACAACTACTTAGGTTATTTCTAGTTACGGTTGTAAAGTGGTCCTATAGCCGCTCAAATAACAGTAAATCCCCGCTTTATAGCTACAGAATGAAGTATCCTGTTAATACTTCCTGGAATATTATAATCTATATTGCGACCTTAAACTAAGTTCTATGTAGACTAAATTAAGCATTTACGATGACTTATTTTTAACCCGAAGTACTTATTATCTAAATTATGGTAAACCACTTTTAACTGTAGTTATATTAATTGTTTGATAATTTAATAATAATTTCAGAAACCGGTTCTTGTAACGTGATATGTTAACCTCTGCCATGAACTACAATCGACTTTACACTCAACAACAAAACAGTTTTTTTCATTAGCTAACAATGCGGTGCGGTTTCCCCTCGCCGTCGCCAGGGGGCAGGGCACGTCATCCGAACTATTGTCGATTAGCGCACAATTACTCGTTAACGCTTTTAACCTTTTTTTTTCAACATTATGCATTAATATTACACATTTTACATCATAATTGTTACGTTTCAATCTTAAGTGGTTCCTAGAACAAAGTAACGATTAAACTAGCCTCAGGATATTTTACTTTTATAGTAAAAAAAACATCTCACTTTCATATAAGTACTTTGTTTCTGTAACGTGCGTACCTCCGTATACTTTGTTACTCGTATGCTTTTTATAGTTTCTCTTGTACCAACTATCCTAATTCTTAAAATATTTAAAGGAACTCTAAATTTCCTTTCAACACGAGTTGATTAATTAAAGGAAAGGAACCTTTCAAATGTTAAGTACAGAGTACGTCACCGGGACCTTAAATAGTAGTAATTAAGTCTTGCTCAAGTACCATCCAAGTTGAGACAAGTCGAGAGTTCCCACGAGGTGCTTACCTGCTGCTAACTGCATTAGTCCTTATTCCAACTGCATAAAGTTCCTATTACGAGCAATATATGAGACTACAAAAAACTTCAGTACTTTTTCAGGGACTTCAGTCTTACATCTTGTAGTAAACTTATATAAACATCATAGTAAAGTGTTACATATGTGAATTACTTGATGTAAGAATGTTACAACTATTATTACAACGGGCACGCACATTCGAATAAACTATCGCACTACAGTTGTGTGATTGTCGATTGTTTCGCAGCCTTCAACTGTTTAGTTGCACAATAAATATCGAGTAATGCGCGCATCTTCATATAAACTCAAAAGAGCAAATAACAGCAAAGGAGTGGAATAAGTTGCCGGCGTCAGTGTTCCCGTCAAGTTATAACGTGGGTGCCTTTAAGAGCAGGGTGAGTCGGTACTTACTAAATTAGCGCGTACCATCCTTCGACCACATCTTCACCTTGGTGGTGGGATAGTGGTCAAGCGCTGGTTTTCGCAATTTAAAAAAAAAACTTATAGGAATAAAAGCGTGACTAAACAGTTATGCGATAGTTAAAGGTAAGGCACTGTAAATCTGCTCTAAAATCTACGCTAAATAAATCAATGTATGGTGTTTATTTATGTAGAGATGAGATAGGTAGATATTTAGATAGATAGATGATATACTAGGCTGACAGAGATGTATGGAAGAGCAGCACATACTGTGCCGACCCTCTATAAGATATAAAGGTAAGTTGATAATGATGGTGTTTCTTTACGTAGGATTAAAATTCAATCAATGATCGATATCGCTATTCATTAGCTATCTAAATAATGTTACATAAACAATTATCATATAGCACAGCAGAGCTCAGTGTCGCGCAATGCAGAGCAAACTTTCACATGAGAAAGCAGCGCTCCACAGCGGCGCCATCTGGCGGACACGTTACCACAATTATTTAATGCAACATGTAATGAGTGATAGATAATGTAAGCCACTAGAAACACATTATTGAGTTTCAGAATTATTAAAAACAAACATCCGAACGCTTACAAACAAGACGAGAAAGAAACGAGATAAAATAACATTGGTGTATAGCTTTTTTAAGTTATTTACTCCTGCCGGCATCATTCAGTTAAAAAACTAGCAAATGCACAATACTTTATCATCAACTTATTATAAATCTACCCTAAGTATAGGCCATAGTCTACCAAATTATAATCCTTAGTGGAGTATTGTCTTTAGTGTATACAATTTCAGCTATGATTCATTATGTTTTGATTCTCCTTCAAGCGAAGTAACGAGACGGATTTTATAAACATTCCTTTCTTAAGTTTTAATATTGGGTTTAATTAACACCCAAAGTTGGATGTTTCGTTTCTCACGTGCGATTGACGTTTACATTTAAAGATTGATTTGATTTAAATATCTCAAACATGCTGTATGAAGTTAGATCAAATATTTACTTTCAACTTTGTAAACACTGCCGAGCTCCCATGGCACGTGGGAAGATGTTAGGGGACAGGATTCTTTGTCACAGTGAGATGTTCCCACTAAATACAATGCAATTCCTCATTTTTCTTTCACATTAAACAATGGCAGGATTTTCATAATATTTATTCAAATTACAATTTTATTTTGAGTAGCCTATGTGTTCTTCTAGACTATGCTCTATATATAGATAGATAATTTTCCGACTGTACCATTTGTTTAGGCAGTTTACAAACGGGCGACGTTCACTATCGGTCGGTAACATTTATATTTCTGGTGTATTCACTCAGATAGACATGCTAAGAAATACAATTGTTGTGAAGTCATAAAAGACACCCGATCCTCCGCAAACACTGCGACATCACGCCAGTTTGAATCAATTAGGACAGACGGAGTCCTATAAATTTATTTTACTTGACAATTGCAATTAATCCGAGGCGTTTTAATGATTGTACTCAATACGCACTGATGTCACCATCCCTAACGAACATGTGACAAGCAGACGAACATTTTTATATCAAACAACACAAAAAATAATCTAAACTGTGTGAGAACCGGCTATTACAGACAGTGAATAAAAAAGAAATCAAAAGTAACGAAAACTGACTAAAATTATTAACAAATTAAAGTAAATTTTGTGTTTATTTTACGAGTACTCAATTCAGTCAGCACGCACGAACAAAGTTTATTCCAATAAAAAATCCGCTGCATTTATTTGCTAAATTGTAGCAATTTCCAATTTTACCTACTAGACTACGTTACCTACGTGCCTTTGCTAGTTTAGTTGCTAAAAGTCTAGACATTCTCTGTTACCTTTTCAAGACTCACGATATTCCCGTGTTCCAGACAAGTCCCCTTGTGGTTGTGTCTGTTACAAATGGATGTCAGTGGCGAGTATTATAATAAATCCGAACGGAATCGATTCTGCAGCCTCCGCATTGCGACAAAGTACAAACTTACCAACTTGTGTAATATTAGCCTTTTTAAATTATAGTGCGTAATAATTTAGTACTTATCTATACTTCTACTGAAATTGTAATTGGACACATTCTATGGTAGCAAGCTTTAAGCTTTAATAAAAGTTTTCACTCAAAATAAGTGCTTACATACATTTATACACTGATCTGTACAAATGGAGATGTCTTTGCTTGGAAATGATTTCTTTTACTTCCGACTAAAACGCGCCTGATGATGTTCATGTCAATTATATCTCTATTATTTTCAATTCAGATTGCAGATGTCAGTATATAATAACGTGAAATCTAAGGTAATGTTAACATTAACCAGTTCCATCCATGTTATGACTGATTATATCTTATCTGTGAGTCTACGAATAACGTTTACATGTGTAACAGAAAGTGAGCTGTTATCTTACATCTTCTGTACTGTATTTGTTAGCACATAAAAAACTGTTACACAACATGCAAATTTTATTTAGAATAGACGTGTTCCCGGATGAAAACATTTTTGTTACAGATGTAAGAATTAGTGTATATTTAGTATTTAGCCCAGTTGTTTCCGGAAGCGACGTATCCAGTTTTAAAGTGTCCCTAATGAGCGGTAGGTCGGTGGTGGGTCGCTGCGAGATGAGGACATGCAGCCCTGCACACCTTAATGATAACGAAGTATTTCTAGTAAGTTATTTTAGTGCCACGTTGCGATGGCTATAAAATTATAAGTTCTCTAACTTTAAGATCCCCGAAAGCTATCGATTGTCAAGGCGCGCCGGGTGGCGTGTCTAGACGTGCGTGTGCCGCGCCCAGCTCCCCGCCTGCAGCAAGCAGGATGGCAGAGAATGTACAGTTCTAAATTAAAAAATTATTTTCTTCCTCATTCTGTACTTTTGTCGCTAAGTTTTGATTACGCGCCATACACCAACTGAATAAGGACCTTATAAACATTTACCATACTAGCTTTCGCCCGCGACTCCATCCGCGTGGAAATAAATAAAATTATCTATGTGTTCTTCCAGACTATTCCCTAGATCTACACCAAATTTCATTGAAATCCGTTCAGCCATTTAGGCTACAAACTCTAACAAACATCCAACTTAACCTTTGCATTTATAATATTAGTATAATTATGTACCTACTTAGCATTGTAAAACATTTAATAGTATCATCATCATCATCATCATTGCCAGCCATAGGTCGTCCACTGCTGAACGTAGGCCTCCCCCATTGATTGCCACAATGCCCGGTCCTGTGCCGCCCGCATCCAGTGCGCTCCCGCAACCTTGACCAGGTCATCGGTCCATCTTGCGGGAGGCCTACCTACGCTGCGACGACCTATCCGTGGCCGCCACTCCAGGACTCTTCGGCCCCATCGGCCGTCCGTTCTGCGGGCAATATGGCCAGCCCATCGCCACTTAAGGTTTACAATTCTTCGGGCAATGTCGGTTACTTTGGTTCTGCTGCGGATCGCATCGTTTCTGACGCGATCTCGCAGCGAGACTCCGAGCATTGCCCGCTCCATTGCCCTTTGAGTGACTTTAAGCCGCCTGATATTGCCCGCAGTGAGCGGCCACGTCTCTGTCCCGTATGTCATCACTGGCAACACGCACTGGTCAAAGACTTTTGTCTTGAGACACTGCGGTATATCTTGGGACGAGAGGATATCCCGCAACTTCCCGAACGCTGCCCATCCGAGTCGGATTCGGCGATTGACCTCCCTCTCGAAGTTGGACCTACCTAGCTGGACGGTTTGTCCCAGGTAGACATACTCGTCAACAACTTCGAGAGTATGGCCTCCGATGGTTATTGGAGTGGGTGAAACATGGATATTTGACATGACCTTTGTCTTATCCATGTTCATTTTCAAACCCACTCGTTCGGAGGCTCTGTTTTTGTTATAATTTACACATGTAAATAATCCAAATGTATAAATTAGTAGTTTCGCAAAATAAACTTCGCTTTATAAAAAAAAAAACAAGTCTCGAACATTCTGTGAAATAAATCAATCATACGTGTAAAGACACAACTTGTGTTTAACTCGAACTTTTCTCTCATTTTAGCTTACTGAACTTTTATAGCTTTTTTTATTTCAATAAAGTATTTGACTTCATATTAATTTTATTAACTTAATCCAATTATATCATTGTAGCATTTATCGGATCTGTAGAGTTGAGATCGGTGTCGTCAAACTGTATGAGAACCAACTCGTATGTCACCACTGCGCCCGCCATCTGTAACATTTAATTTCCAGTAAACATCCAATTTATCTGCAAATTGATTACGGCCAAATAAATGCTACAAAGAGAATAGTGTAGTCATTGATATTTTTTTGCGTCGTTATTCATTCTTTAACGTTAGCTAATTTCATGGATCTTTTTCATTTCATTATATCGAACTAGCTTCCGCCGGCGACTCCGTCCGCGTGGAATTATAAAAAAAAAGTAGCCTATGGGTTCTTCCAGACTATCGTCTACAACTATACCAAATCTCATCAAAATCCGTTTAGCTGTTTAGGCTACAAACTCTAACAAACAAGTATGATAGAGGACTACTTAGGAGCTCGTTTAAATCTTA